GCTCCTCTTCATCCAGTCCTGAACACAGTCATGAGTGTGTGACGGGCTTCCAGTGCTCTGGGAGTGAAGCTCATCTGGGGAACTGCAGCTCTCCACAAACTCTCAACTGCAGCTCCACACAACAGCTGTCAATCACCTGCCTTGGTGAGAAGAACAACATCTGGACAGATTTTTCAGTTGTTCGTGATCAATAATGTGTTTCTCTTTCTCTGAATATCAGGTCGCGGGTCCATCAGGCTGGTGGGTTCTGGGGGAGACTGTGCAGGGAGACTGGAGGTTTTTCACAGCGGCTCATGGGGGGCAGTGTGTGATGACTCCTGGGATATTAAAGATGCCCATGTGGTGTGCAGACAGCTGCAGTGTGGAGTGGCCCTCAGTAACCAGCAGGTACCAGCCTGGTTTGGTCCTGGTTCTGGACCCATATGGCTGGATGAGGTGGAGTGTGAGGGGAATGAGACGTCCCTGTGGAGCTGCTCTTCTCCAGGCTGGGGAAAACATGACTGTCAACACAAGGAGGATGTAGGAGTCGTGTGCTCGGGTAAACAGTACACTAGAGGAAATGTTCTCCCATGCATAAATGTTATCCCCCCTCCCCCCCAACAAAAAAGGCTAATGCATGTTGCAAATGCTGTTAGCATATTATGTCAGTAACATAGTATTAGGCTAACATAATAGTTTAGATGCTGGCAGCACGAATCAGCCTCGATTTAACCAGTTATTTTGGTGATATTTAAAATGTAGCACTACCTGAATTGCAGTTGTTTTAATACACATCCCTTTCCATGAGTCGTGTGCTCGGGTAAACAGTACACTAGAGGAAATGTTCTCCCATGCATAAATGTTATCCCCCCTCCCCCCCAACAAAAAAGGCTAATGCATGTTGCAAATGCTGTTAGCATATTATGTCAGTAACATAGTATTAGGCTAACATAATATTTTAGATGCTGTCAGTGCTGGCAGCACGAATCAGCCTCAAATTAACCAGTTATTTTGGTGATATTTCAAATTTAGCACTACCTGAATTGCAGTTGTTTTAATACACATCCCTTTCCATCTAGAGTTTAAGGAGATCAGGTTAACTGAGGGCTGTGAAGGGAATGTGGAGGTTTTCTACAATGGATCCTGGGGAAATTTATGTTACAACCAGATGAACACAGACACAGCGAGTCTGATCTGTCAAGAGCTGAACTGTGGAAGATCTGGCAGTGAACCCATTTATTCAGAGGGACTGAAGCCTCATAATTGGCTTGATAAACTTAATTGTCGACGACATGATTCCACTTTATGGCAGTGTCCTTCTTCACCACAGCGAGTCTGATCTGTCAAGAGCTGAACTGTGGAAGATCTGGCAATGAACCCATTTATTCAGAGGGACTGAAGCCTCATAATTGGCTTGATGAACTTAATTGTCGACGACATGATTCCACTTTATGGCAGTGTCCATCTTCACCCTGGGGACAGAATGACTGTGATAATGAAGTGGCCAAAATCACCTGCTCAAGTGAGATGATATTTAAATGATATGTAAGGTCTAAGCCATGCTTCATTAAACACAATGTTTATTTCTAATGTGGTGAGTAAACAAATATTTCTTTAAAAGTAAACTGAGCTGATGGAAAGAGCCTGAAATGATTTGTTTTCACATTGATGATATCTTTCACTGAGAGATGTTACAGTATGTGTCTTGTATCCTAATGTTCTCTTCATGTTTTAATCTCAGAGGAGGAGAATCAGGAGTCTCTTCAGAGTCGTCTGACATGTTCAATCTCACCATCTCTTCACCAGAAACAGTGTTCAAGTAAGTTTTTAACAAATTTGTTACATTTTAGTTCATATATGCCTTATTTTCCTAATAAATTATTAAAAGATGTGCATTCAAACAAGAAGTGTAATCATACATTTAAAGCCATCTTTGTTCAGTTTCACTGTGTGTTTTATTGTAAATGTTGTGCTGAAGCTGGTCTGTTCTCGTTGTTTTAGATCATCTTCCTCTCAGACTGAGTGGAGGGGAGGGCCGGTGCTCTGGGAGGCTGGAGGTGTATCATAACGCTGTGTGGGGCTCAGTCTGTGATGATCAGTGGGACATCAGCGATGCTCAGGTGGTCTGCAGGCAGCTGGGTTGTGGAGCAGCACTGAGGGCTGATGGGAATTCAGTCTTTGGTGCTGGTGAAGGTGTTGTGTGGATGAACAGAGTCGAGTGCAGAGGGAATGAGATTCACCTGTGGGACTGTCCGCTCTCCCTGAAAAAACACACTGACTGCTCACGCAAAGAGCATGCTGGACTCACCTGTGCAGGTCACAGCAAAATATTGAGGAATAATTTTCATTTTTAGATCATTTTATGTATTCATAATTTTGAATGCGTTTGTGTCTGTTTTGCCAGATGTGTTAGTGTCCACTACTCCTGCCACAACATCATCAGCTTCTCCTCCAGTGCGCTCAACATCAGTCACTCCTCCACAAACTCCTCCAGCAGCGTCTCTCTCCGTCCCCCCAGTGCTTGTGATTGTACTGGGAGTTGTGCTCTTACTGCTCTTAGTGCCACTGCTTATACTGATTCAGCAGAACAGAGTGATGAGGAGAGGTAGGAGAGATCCAGAGACTGTCATATTGTGTCTTATTCAGTGTGTGATCAGTCATGTGTTGTGAACTGACAGCAGGTTTGTCTGTCTACACTCACAGCTCTCTCTAAGAGGAGACACAGGACGACGACTGAGGCCGTTTATGAGGAGATTCAGCACAGACACAATCACTTCACTCAGAGGGGTGAGACATGAGCCATCAATCTCATTTATACCATTAATAAGAGTCTGTTAGACAGTTGATGTTCATCTATTATTAGTCCTGTTAAACCTCCTGCTTCAAACCACAGAATTCCTGACAGAAAACCACAGAGCTGCAGGTGCATGTTTGTGTGTGTGTGTGCGTGTGTGTGTGTGTGTGTGTCAGTGTATGTCTCTTCCTGTGAGTATTTTTAGATTTTCATAAGGAGGTGTTCATATATTTTTAAGTGTACATGCAGGTGGTGTGTGTGTGTATTTGTGGAAGGCAGTGAGGAATGGGTTCATGTGAGGATACAGTACATGTGTATTTGCTAATAGGCCCGATAAAAAGGGATTTCTTTCTATAATACTTTTAAAATGTGAAATTGATTTGAAATTGAAATAAATTTTTGTGTTGTCTTGTCTTCTTTACGATCCAAAGGAAATGAGGATTCAGTCTGTTTGTAATGATGAACATGTTTCTGATGGTTCTGCTCTCCTTTAACAGGGCGTCTCATCTCTGAAGAACTGCATTCTGGGTATGAAGATGCTGATGAGCTTCTCTCAGGTTAGAGAACTGAAGTGCATATACATTCCACATTTCACACAAAAAAAACCTTTATAATGAATTCACCGAAATAAATAAATAATTAACAAATGCTGTAACATATTTGATTAACAACTCAATACTATTCAAATACTGCTGTTTACTTGTATATTAACCGTCTGCTCTCCTTTTTTAGCAAAAGAGTTCAAGACTGCATATTATGATGATGTCACCAACAGCAGTGGCCTAAAAGGTCAGTCACCTTTTTAATTGATCACATGATTCATTACCAGATGTTTAATAAATTCTCAGTCTTATGATCTGCAACAAGAACATATGTTGGCTTTTGTATCCAAACATATTGTGTGTTGATGCAGAAGAGACGATGAAGGAAATCACACCGGGATACTATGATGATGTCATCACTGATGGACTGAAAGCAGATCGTGAGACAGGTGTCACTCTGATATTCTACAGCAGCATTTAAATTAAAATATTACAGTATATTTAAGATAGATATTTCACGTTTGTTCTGAATGTAATGAATGTGTGTCTGTGATGAATGTGAATCTGTAGAAGACACACCTGAGAGCTATGATGATGTCATGACGAGCGGACACAACTCTGACATCAAGAAAGGTGTTTTACCATTTTATCAACTTTTAAAAATAATATTCCTCTAAAATCAAATCATTACAGATAATATTTTAAATGACTGTATATTTAATTTTGACTGATATTTGTAGTGGACGCACCAGAGAATTATGATGATGTCATCATTAATAGGGCCCAATAAAAAGGGATTTCTCGCTATAATACTTTTTAAATGTGAATAATTCATTTTTGTGTTGTCTTGTCTTCTTTATAATCGAAAGGGAGGATTCAGTCTGTTTGTAATGATGAACATGTTTCTGATGGTTCTGCTCTCCTTTAACAGGGCGTCTCATCTCTGAAGAACTGCATTCTGGGTATGAAGATGCTGATGAGCTTCTCTCAGGTTAGAGAACTGAAGTGCATATACATTCCACATTTCACACAAAAAAAACCTTTATAATGAATTCACCGAAATAAATAAATAATTAACAAATGCTGTAACATATTTGATTAACAACTCAATACTATTCAAATACTGCTGTTTACTTGTATATTAACCGTCTGCTCTCCTTTTTTAGCAAAAGAGTTCAAGACTGCATATTATGATGATGTCACCAACAGCAGTGGCCTAAAAGGTCAGTGACCTTTTTAATTGATCACATGATTCATTACCAGATGTTTAATAAATTCTCAGTCTTATGATCTGCAACAAGAACATATGTTGGCTTTTGTATCCAAACATATTGTGTGTTGATGCAGAAGAGACGATGAAGGAAATCACACCGGGATACTATGATGATGTCATCACTGATGGACTGAAAGCAGATCGTGAGACAGGTGTCACTCTGATATTCTACAGCAGCATTTAAATTAAAATATTACAGTATATTTAAGATAGATATTTCACGTTTGTTCTGAATGTAATGAATGTGTGTCTGTGATGAATGTGAATCTGTAGAAGACACACCTGAGAGCTATGATGATGTCATGACGAGCGGACACAACTCTGACATCAAGAAAGGTGTTTTACCATTTTATCAACTTTTAAAAATAATATTCCTCTAAAATCAAATCATTACAGATAATATTTTAAATGACTGTATATTTAATTTTGACTGATATTTGTAGTGGACGCACCAGAGAATTATGATGATGTCATCATTAATAGACTGAGCTCTCGAGGTGTAACAGGTGAGATGCACAGAACTACATGTTTATCACCCTTTGCATGTTTAGATGAGTATTAGACATTTGTTCAAGTCACTTAAAGGAAAAGGAATGCCTCAAATGATATATGACATGATTTCTGTCATTCTCGATCAGAGAGAGTTCAGGAGGAGTATGATGATGTGATGAGTGTCAGTGAAGATGTGAGAAACCTGTTGGGTAAGTTACTGTAACCCTTTTGTTCTCACTATACTAACATCTTTATTTATATTGGAATATTTTTTGACATTTTCCCATTTTTTTTATACTTTTAAAATATTCATCCAATTACAACATTTGACATGATTTTTTATATTTTTAATAACAGATTATGATGATGTGGAGGAGGAGTCAAAGAAAGAAGATTTGGCCCAATGATCATCCATTTCCTCGGTTCAACAAATTTGAACAAAGTTTGAGTGATATTGTTATTGATATGTCAAATCTTGGGGTTTTATGTTTCACCAAGTGTTCTTTTTTTGTATTAAAACTTCTATGCCTTTGTCAGATTTTGTTGTTTTGTTTTTTGGCCTTGTTAGTAGCAATAAAAAACTTTTCAGACAAATGTGTGTGTGTATTTCAATAAGGCATTGCACAAACCCTGAAGTCAATGCAATGTTTAATGCACAACTGCTGCGGTGACAATCAAAGTCATTCTAAATATAAGCCATAAATGACCATCAGTGATTTCACAGCCCTCAGCATCATCACAGCAAGTACTGGAGTTCTGTGAGTGGATAATGCTTAAAAAATGCATTTACTTTAGATTAATTAAAGTAACTTTCGTAATAGAAAAAAAAAAAAAAATTATATGACATAATTGTATGTGATCAGGTGTGTTTTTAAGCGATAAATAAATATGAATATTACTTACATGCATCATTTATCAAGCTGTAGAAGTGGATAATATATGTAAATCAACAAACTGTAACACGTTTAAAAGTCATATTTCTTCTCTATAAACCATAAGAATCACTTTGAAATAACTTCAATATATTATGACTTAATAATGCTTAACAGCAGAACATTAGAACCCCGGTGCAGCTCATGTTTTATCATCAATATAAAACAAGCACAGTTACCTGTTATGTGACTTCACAGCAATTTCCACTTCAATATCCACAATATCCACATCTTTGAGCTCTCATTTTGTATCTCGATGTTAATATCTCGTTACTGTTTTGCTGAGTGGACTCCAATGATTCAGTTCAATGATTCACTGAACAATAAAGAACCGGATTCAAAAGATTAATTTTGGAATTTTTGATTCTGAAAGTTTTGATTCTAAACAGCAGACTCAAAGACTTAATTCGTTAAGTATTGTCAGGGTAAATGTTTCTCTGGTCAGTATACTGTAGTTACGGATTTATAAATAGTATAGTAAAACTGTTCTGGCACAGACAACAGTATTTTAACTGGGGCTTGTGTCTCAGTCACACGAGTCTGGAGAAGCACCTTTACTGTAAGGCATCAAATTTGTCATCTTTTTTTACTGCTACCCACAGGAATAGATCGGTATTGCAGTATTAAACATATAAAAGCAGCTGCAAACTTGGCTCTTGTATGACGAACTGTGCATGACCATAGATATACTTTATTGTCTTTATTTTATTATTTATTTTAAACAAAATGCCCTTCTAATATACTATATGTATTAATATATGCATTAACTGTGAACTTGACAAGCATTGCTAAAATATACTTCTGAATAACAGTAGCTAAAACAAATGTACATGTGCTTTTATAACTAATATTTCTAATCATGAACTCAAAGCGAGAAGCATGATACAATATGTTATGAGCGTTAGTATTTCTATATCTGCAAAAGCTGCTTTGATGCTGTTAATAAACTGGAATGTTTCCTGTCCCTGAAATCAGTTTCCTGTATGTTTGACTTTGTCACCCCTCTATCTTGTGTGTTTCTCCCCAGTTAAGTGTCTCTATAAGATGGAGGAGGAGTCCTGTTCATCAATGCTGACGTACTTTTAATAAATATGGTGAAAATCATAAATACGCCTTCTGATTAGTCAGTGAGACTTTTTGATGATGTTCTCTCTTCTGTCTAATAAGGTAAAAGTGTATTTGATTGGCTTGTTGTTTGGTGGTTGTGCAGCTTTCTGTATCTGTCTCTCTTGAACCTTTCAGTTCAGAGTTGATCAAACAGAGTGTATGATCGGTAAAGATGGAGAACTGTCTAACTCTCATTTTTTTGTCTTCTGTGATCAAACTCGCCACAGCTGGTACGTACACACTCAGGATCGTTATGTTATAGTGATTGACTGTTTGTGTTTGTGATATAAATTGGTCATAATATAATTTATAGTTCCCCTTTTTTATGTGTAGTATTTGCATTAATATAAAAGTGAATTTCTTTCTCTCATGGTCATTTTCTCTGTTCCTCTCTCTTTTGCTGACTTTTCTCTGTTGTTGTTTGTCTTCTCTCAGATACATTTTATATACATCATTCTATATCTTTTCTACAGGAAATGTGAGGCTGGTGGATGGTAGTAATTCCTGTGCTGGTAGGGTGGAGGTTTATTATAATGGAGAATGGGGAACCGTGTGTGATGATTATTGGGATTTGACAAACACTGCAGTGGTGTGTAGAGAGCTGAGCTGTGGCGTAACTTCAAACACAATGCGTGCTGCTCACTTTGGACCAGGATCAGGAAAAATCTGGATGGACAATGTGATATGTAGTGGATCTGAGTCCTCAATATTTGATTGCTCAAAAACAAAAATGGGTGACCATAACTGTGAGCATAGTGAAGATGTTGGCATTATCTGCTCAGGTAGGCTGATTTTATCACTACCTTTCATTAACAAATAAATACATAATTTACTATAATAAAAGCATGCATGTACTAAGTAGATTATATAAATCAGACTTTAAATCATTAGGAGAATCAAACGAGTGTTGTAATACAAGGTGAGTTTAACCATTTAGAATTGAGCTATACAAGGGTGAAATCACTCAATATTATATCAATCATATAGGACCACTGTATGATTTGAGGTGAAAGCAGAAGTTGTAAGTCTCTGTGTAAAAATATAAAGGATCTACAGTGCATGAAAAAAAATAATAATAATGGTTTATGATTTGAATTGTGGTCAGGTTAATGTTTAATGACAGTACATTACCTGAAACTCTCTTGTGTAATTTCATATTTAATATTTACTCTAATGTTACACTTTCACCTACAGTATATGTTAAGAACCTTAACATTTTAATTAACAAAATAAATTAATGTACACAATTCAAACTGATGTTCTATTAATGTTACTTTTCAACAAAATGCTAAATTTGGAATTACATCAAGAATGGACTTGAATAGGTTTGGACTTAGTCCTTCTCCCCCATACGCAGGGCAATGATGACTCCAGAATAGAAATATTAAATGATTCTGCTTAGCTAAAAATACAGAATTATGTTAAACACGTATTCTTACACTCTGTCCCTGACTACATTTGATTAAATTATGCATTTTATTTTTAATTTATTAATAAATAATAATAATTAATCAATAATAAAAATGAAAGCTCAAATTTGTGACCTTTTGGGTTTACCATATTTAATGTGCCATTACTATATTTGATGCTAAATTAAATGTCTAAGCTTTCATTTCATATTGTGACAAAATATATTGCTACGCCCCTAGTCAACCCAGTGTGTCAAATGTAGCAGGACCTGCAAGGACCCCACATGTTACTCTAGGGCTGTAACAACACTACTCTCTAAATAATTGAAGATAAGTTGTAGATTTCAAAACAACTTTAATCTGTGGCAAAACTGTGGCAAAAGCCTGTTAAAGCACAACACCACAACACTCCTCTCTTAGTACAGTATATACTGTAAGCTTTTTTATTTTTGGGAATTTTATATATATATATAGTTATATTATGATTTTTAACAGTTTGTTATGACTAACATTTCAGGCATCAGGCTTGTTGGAGGTTCTCGCTGCTCTGGGAGATTAGAGGTGCCTCATGGGAACACATGGTACACAGTCTGTGCCGCTGCCTTTGACCAGCAGGATGCAGAGGTTGTGTGTAGAGAGCTGGACTGTGGGGCTCCTGTACAGGTGCTGGGAGCTGCTGCTTTTGATAAAGGAGACACTCAGATGTGGACACAAGAGATTCAGTGCAGTGGAAATGAGTATCAGTTTGCTCTTTGTCCAGCATTACCTTCACAATTTTGTTCCCATGAGAACGATGTGAGTGTTGTATGTGCTGGTAGGTGAACGACATATGAACTATGAGTATTGACACAATTCTTGAGTAATATTGTAAAATAAATAAATAAAACAACTTACTTTATTTTTCTTGTGTCCTTTTACCTTCAGAAACAGTGAGATTAGTAGGTGGTAACAGTCGCTGTGCTGGTAGAGTGGAGGTTCTGCATGAAGGTCAGTGGGGAACAGTGTGTGACATTGGTTGGGATTTGCCTGATGCTGCAGTGGTGTGTAGAGAGCTTGGCTGTGGAGAGGCTTTAACTGCACCAAAGAGTGCTCACTTTGGAGAAGGATCGGGAGAGATCTGGGTTTCAAATTTACAGTGTACTGGATCAGAGTTTACATTGACAAACTGTAGATTCGATGGATGGGGAATAGAAGCTAATCATGCTGAAGATGCTGGAGTAATCTGCTCTGGTAAGATCATCTAGACTTATTTCATAATTACTAATCTTTTCTCCCACAGAATTCCAGGATGGATAAAAATTTTTTTGCTCCACATTCAGTGTTATGTCAGGTGCCTGTGAGGAGTGAAGTATTATATATTATAAGTATTATGTGACATGCTGAATGACGATATGGAACACACAAAAAGCATTTTGTCAACAACATGCATTTTTTGTTCCAGACGATTCCTTTTGTGAATCAAATATACATAGTATCTCATTCAAAGATTTCACAGACAAAATGCATTTTAGTGACATGCTGGGTGCATTTTGTTCACTTTTTTTCTGATATCCATTAAATGAAAAACATATTCACTCTCATGTGCAAAAAAATACAAGAATTCTATGTGAATTTTATGCACACACAAAAAAAAACTGCTGACAATTGATGAAAGGCGTCTGGTTTAGCTTTATAAAGTAATATTAGGACGAGAATTAGTAAATATAATTGAATTTGTAAATTTTTTTATTTAAGGAGTCAGGCTGGTTGGAGGATCTCGCTGTTCTGGCAGAGTAGAAGTGCCTCATGATCAGACGTGGATGTCAGTGTGTGACGCTGCCTTTGACCAGCAGGATGCAGAGGTTGTGTGTAGAGAGCTGGACTGTGGGGCTCCTGTACAGGTGCTGGGAGCAGCTGCTTTTGGCAAAGGAGACGCTCAGATGTGGACACAAGAGATTCAGTGCAGAGGAAATGAATCCTATATATCTTTGTGTCCAACATCATCTTCTCTCAAACAAAATTGCACCCATGAGAATACCATTGGACTGTTATGTTCTGGTAATAGAGCATTAGTTACTTATTGAGAGAATCACAAACTAGGTTTTTAAAACACATTTCTTGCTTTTTTCATACTGTTAAACTAAACTCTCTGTTCTCTGTTCTTTGTCCAGGTTACACTGACCTCAGACTGGTCAATGGTCCTGAAATCTGTTCTGGTCGAGTTGAACGTCAGTACTTCAGTAAATGGGGCACAGTGTGTGATGTATGCTGGGATATGAGAGCTGCCAGTGTCCTCTGTAGACAGCTGAATTGTGGGATTGCTGTGTCTGTTGTGGGATCAGACTGGTTTGGAGAGGGAAGTGCTGAAATCAGGGCTGATGTGTTTGATTGTGATGGGAATGAAACAAAACTCTCAGAATGTTCCATCTCTTCATGGAGTCGAGCTGAATGTTCTCATAGACGAGATGTTGGAGTCATCTGCTCTAGTGAGTCCATTCATGCCGCGATGAAGTCATGGGTTCCAGACTAAAACTACGTCTAAGTATATATTTTATATATACTAATGAAATATAATACTGAATGATAAATAAATACTCTCTTCAGATTCCTCTCTGGCTCTTCATGATGGTCTAGTGCGGTTGTCTGGAGAGAGACAGTGTGAGGGGGAGGTGGAAGTTTTCATCCATCAGGTCTGGAGAAGAGTTCTGCTGGACTCCTGGAGTCTCACTGAATCCTCTGTGGTCTGCAGACAGCTGGGCTGTGGCTCTGTGCTGAACTTCTACGGCTCCTCTTCATCCAGACCTGAACACAGTCATGAGTGTGTGACGGGCTTCCAGTGCTCTGGGAGTGAAGCTCATCTGGGGAACTGTAGCTCTCCACAAACTCTCAACTGCAGCTCCACACAACAGCTGTCAATCACCTGCATCGGTGAGAAGAACAACATCTGGACAGATTCTTCAGCTATTCGTGATCAATAATGTGTTTTTCTTTCTCTGAATATCAGGTCGTGGGTCCATCAGGCTGGTGGGTTCTGGGGGAGACTGTGCAGGGAGGCTGGAGGTTTTTCACAGCGGCTCATGGGGGACAGTGTGTGACGACTCCTGGGATATTAAAGATGCTCATGTGGTGTGCAGACAGCTGCAGTGTGGAGTGGCCCTCAGTAACCAGCAGGTACCAGCCTGGTTTGGTCCTGGTTCTGGATCCATATGGCTGGATGAGGTGGAGTGTGAGGGGAATGAGACGTCCCTGTGGAGCTGCTCTTCTCCAGGCTGGGGAAAACATGACTGTCAACACAAGGAGGATGTAGGAGTTGTGTGCTCAGGTAAACAGTACACTAGACGAAATGTTTATCAAAGATAAAGTGGTTTTTAGAAAATGTGTAATCATTAATCTCCATGGTGATCAGGAACGAAAGGGGTCAGAAGGGGTTTGTTTTGAGTTGATGACTGTCTGACTGTACAGTTCATGACTACTTACCAAATACTTCAACACAAAATATTGATTTGAGAGTAAATTACTTTATAATTTTACATATATACTGTCTTCCTAAGAAAAAAATAGTTCGCTACAGAATGCAAAACAATCATATGGTTGCAATGATATTACTGTATTATCAATACAGAATTTCTCTGTATTTTAATAACTAATTATGAAGCTATTTTTCATATGTTTTACTTATCTGTTTTTAGATGCAATCAGTGCTTGCAGCATGCATCAGCCTCATATTAAATTACTGTTTTGGTACATATTTTAGCTTTATCACAACCTGAATTTTAATTGTTTTAATGCACATCCTTTTCCATCTAGAGTTTAAAGAGATCAGGTTAACTGAGGGCTGTGAAGGGAATGTGGAGGTTTTCTACAATGGATCCTGGGGTAATGTGTGCTGGAACCAGATGGACGGCGACACAGCAAGTCTGATCTGTCAGGAGCTGAACTGTGGAAGATCTGGGGTTTTGTCTGCTTCTACACCAAGAGTGAAATCAGCTCCTAACTGGCTGGATAAAGTTACATGTCGTCCACATGATTCCACTTTATGGCAGTGTCCATCTTCATCCTGGGGACAGAATGACTGCGGTGAAGATGAAGTGGCCAAAATCACCTGCTCAGGTTGGATGATATTTAAATAATTTAATATGGTCTCAATAATAATGCTTCTGGGTGATTCTATAATTGCAGGTACATTTGGTGCTATAGTCATTATTTTTTGTTTCTCCTGCATTTATAGAATCACCCTTCTGTACATACATTTTTATGTCTAATGGGGTAAGTAAACTTAAATGTTTCTGAAAACTAAAGTGAGCTGATGGGAAGAGTTAAATGATTTGTGAGGGTAAACTGTTTAGCAGTTTTCACACTGACAGTTGGTTTTCACTGAGAGATGTCAGATGTCTCATACTAATATTCTGTTCACTTTTCTTTTGTTTATCATGTTATAATCTCAGAGGAGGAAACTCGTGAGTTGCCTCAGAGTCGTCTGACATGTTTTACCTCACCATCTCCTTACCAGAGACAGTGTGCAAGTAAGTTTACTCACAACAAATCTGTTGAATGTTTGTTAATGTAAGCCTATATTTTCCTAGCCAATTACTGTTAAATTATTAATAGATGCATTTTTAAAATAGGAATTATTTACCTCAGAAAATAATCATTTTTAAAAGCCTCTAGCTTCATTATTAGTGTGTGTTTTGTTGTAAATGTTGTGCTGAAGCTGCCAGTGCTGATGTGTGTGTTTTAGATTATGTTCCTCTCAGACTGAGTGGAGGGGAGGGCCGTTGCTCTGGGAGGCTGGAGGTGTATCATAACACTGTGTGGGGCTCAGTCTGTGATGATCAGTGGGACATCAGCGATGCTCAGGTGGTCTGCAGGCAGCTGGGTTGTGGAGCTGCACTGAGGGCTGATGGGAATTCAACAATTAGTGCTGGTGAAGGTGTTGTGTGGATGAACAAAGTCGAGTGCAGAGGGAATGAGATTCACCTGTGGGACTGTCCTCTCTCCCTGAATAACCACACTGACTGCTCCCGCAAAGAGCACGCTGGACTCACCTGTGCAGGTCACAGCAAACACTAAGGAATAATGTTCATTTTTAGATCATTTTATGTATTCATAATTTTGAATGTGTTTGTGTCTGTTTTGCCAGATGTGTCAGTGTACACTTCTCCTGCCTCAACAACATCAGCTTCTCCTCCAGTTTCTCCTCCAGTGCGCTCAACATCAGTCTCTCCTCCACAAACTCCTCCATCAGCGTCTCTCTCCGTCCCCGCAGTGCTTGTGATTGTACTGGGAGTTGTGCTCTTACTGCTCTTAGTGCCACTGCTTATACTGATTCAGCAGAACAGAGTGATGAGGAGAGGTAGGAGAGATCCAGAGACTGTCATATTGTGTCTTATTCAGTATGTGATCAGTCATGTGTTGTGAACTGACAGCAGGTTTGTGTGTCTACACTCACAGCTCTCTCTAAGAGGAGACACAGGACGACGACTGAGGCCGTTTATGAGGAGATTCAGCACAGACACAATCACTTCACTCAGAGGGGTGAGACATGAGCCATCAATCTCATTTAATACCATTAATAAGAGTCTGTCAGACAGTTGATGTTCATCTATTATTAGTCCTGTTAAACCTCCTGCTTCAAACCACAGAATTCCTGACAGAAAACCACAGAGCTGCAGGTGCATGTTTATGTGTGAGTGTGTGTGTCAGACAGAGTCTCTTCCTGAGTGTATTTCTGGAAGGCAGCGAGGAATGGGTTCATTTGAGGATACATGTGTGTGTGTTTGCTAATTGGCCCAACAAAAACATCCTGTCTCTAATGTTTTTAAAATGCAAGTAATTGACATTTTTGTTGTGTTGTCACTAACACAATGCTTTATGATCCAGAGAAAATTAGGATTTAGTCTGTTTGTAATGATGAACATGTTTCTGACTGTTCTGCTCTTCTTTAACAGGGAGTCTCATCTCTGAAGAACTGCATTCTGGGTATGAAAATGCTGATGAGCTTCCCTCAGGTTAGAGAGCTGAAATATATTAACATTAATACTTAAAAATAAATAATTTGACGTTCAAACTCAATGAAAAATATATAAAACGGAATTCACACTCAAAATCACACAAATATAATTCTTCCAGTAAATTAAATGTCACCAACACTCTTAAAAATAAAGGTGCTTCACGATGCCATAGAAGAACCTTTTTGTCTAAATGGTTCCATAAAGAACCTTTAACATCCGAAGAACCTTTCTGTTTCACAAAAGGTTCTTTGTGGCAAAAGAAGGTTCTTCAGATTACAAAAAGGTAAGAAAGAGATGGTTCTTTGTGGAACCAAAAATGGTTCTTCTATGGCATCGCTTGAAGAACCTTTTGAAGCACTTTTATTTTTAAGAGTGAATGACTCAACTGTTCGTAATACTATAATGTTTATCTTATTAGAAATAGTGTTCAACACTGCATATTATGATGATGTCAACAATGGCAGGTCTCAAGACCTGCAAGAGAATATATTACATTTTGTTTCTAAAAAATATTCCAATATGCCCAAATATACCATGTTTAGATGCAGAAGAGATGGTGAAGGAAATCACACCAGGATACTATGATGACGTCATTACTGATGGACTGAAACCAGACCATGAGACAGGTATCACTCTGTTATTCTGTAATTAGATTAAATATTTAAAATATATAAAACAGGGGTGTCCAGTTCTGCTCCTGGATGGCCAAGAGTTCAGCTTCTTCCAGCTCCAACACACTTGCCTGGAAGTTTCTAGTGAGTGCTAATCAGGTGTACACACCTCCACCTTTGCACAGATTCCTATTCACAAAAAATCTATTATCTGAAAATGAAAATCAACACTGAGCTTGTTCAATTTCATTATGTTATGCAATACAAAAAACATATTTTTGAGGTATAGGCATTATGTTTAGTTTTTTTTTGTTTAGTTGTAAATGAATCACATAATGCAGACGGTCATCACCTGTACTGCATTTAAAGAAAGTCAGTTAATAAAAAATGTTCAGTATAAAGTATTATTAAAATTATAATTCTAGTTGTATTTTTCTGCTGTGCCTGCGGGGGCAGAAACAGAAACTGTACCATGCTGCAAGGGGAGCGCCCTTTGATTGGTTTCTCTACAGTCATGGCCAAAAGTTTTGGCAGTGACATAAATTTTGTGTTTTGCAAAGTTTGCAGCTTCAGCTGTTGTGGTGTTCATTCACATTGTTTCTAGATTATTGTGTAGAGTGATCAGATGCATTTTAAATAATTGCTAAAAGCGTCATTGGCCAAAAAATGAACTTTTCACAAAAAAACTAAACAAATTTCACTGTTTTTTGATCCTGACACAAAATGACCAGATAACATTAATTGACTAATCATATCAGCAGCACATGTGAAAGTGTGAATGAGTACTAGTCAGGTAAAATCACTATCATACTAATTAGATTGTAAGAGCAGACTGATTGCTATAAAAGGAGGGAAGAAGCGCTTCCAATCATTGTCTTGTTAGCAATGGTTACCTCCAAAGAAATACGTGCAGCCATCATCGCTTTGCATCAAAATCAAAGAATATTGCACATGAAAGAACCATTTACCGGATCATCAAGAACTTCAAGGAGAGAGGTTCGACTGCAATGAAGAAGTCTTCAGGACGTTTCGGAGTGTCCAGCAAGCGCCAGGACGGTCTCCTCCTGAGGAGTCAGCTACAGAATCATATCAGCAGCAGTGCAGAGCTTGCTCAGGAATGGCAGCAGGTTGGTGTGAGAGCATCTGCACGCACAGTGAGGCCAAGACTTTTGGACAACGGCCGGGTGTCAAGAAGGGCAGCAAAGAAGCCACTTCTCTCCAAGAAAAACATCAAAGACAGACTGAAATTCTTCAGGAAGTACAAGGATTGGGCAGCAGAAGACTGGTGTAAAGTTATTTTGTCTGATGAAGTGGGCTCTCTCATAATTCTGCCCAAAAACACTGCCATGAATAAAGAATGGTATAAAAACGTCCTGCAAGAGCGACTTCTTCCAATGATCCATGAGCAATTTGGTGATGTATTTTCCAGCATGATGGAGCACCATGTCACAAAGTAAGAGTGATAAAGAAGTGGCTTGAAGAACATTACATTTAAATTTTGGATCCGTGGTCAGGCAACTCCCCGGAGCTCAATCCCATAGAGAACCTGTGGTCAGTCCTCAAAATACGAGTGGACAAGCAGAAGCCCACAAATTGTGATCAACTCCGAGAACTAATAAGGCAAGAATGGATCGTCAAGGATAACTAAAAAAGAATGGATCGCCATCAGTCAGGATTTGGCCCAGAAGCTAATATCCAGCATGCCAGAGCGAATCGCAGAGGTTATGAAGAACAAGGGTCAACACTGTAAATATTGACTCATTATATATTTTTTTGCCAATAAAAGCCTTTAAAACTTATGATATGCTTATCATTGTTTTTCAGTATACCATAGAAATATGTGGAAAAATAATCTACAAATACTGAAGCTGTGAACTTCAAAATCACAAACACAATAATCAGAAAACACAAAATGTATGTCACTGCCAAAACTTTTGGCCATGACTGTACATAATCCATTCCCAATTTGGAGAAAAGTTTTGTTTGTCTAAGAGGACCAAACATCCACGTATACGGTTTCAGGAATGACAACCGTGAGTGTCAAATGTACGCGAGTTAAATTGTTAAATTGTATTTGAATCCGTTAAATCATGCCGCGAGTCATTGCTATGGTTGACAGTGGCAACGGAATTAATCTTAAGACGAGCCAATGTCAAAATACAGATGTGCATTAAGTGATTCAGACTAAATTCAGAGTAACAAAACTACAGCAGTAACCAGTCTGTGTTGGATAAAACTTAAACGATGTATTTATTAAATTAAATCTAAACATTTCAAAATTTCAAAACCAACTTATTTAATTTGTGTTTACGGTATTTAAATAATTCAGCATTCTAGGCTGTTGTCAGGCCTTATTTATTTCTTTTTTTCTTTTTAAATAACAAGTGACTTTGTGATTTCCTACACTTGTGTCCTTCCACTTGAGAAGCACTTAGTGAGTCTGAAGACCTTGATTACTTTGGTTCAGCTAAACTCTGCAGGACAGTGGCCCTTCAGGAACAGGTTTGCACACCCCTGATATAACATCTTTTTTTCTCTCTCTTTATATATATACCCAGGATATATATATATATATATATATATATATATATATATATATATATATATATATATGTGTGTGTGTGTATATATAATATGGGTGCAATGTTTCATGTTTAATTTGTAGAAGACCGACATGAGAGCTATGATGATGTCACGACGAGCGAACAGAACTCTGACATTAAAAAAGGTGTTTTACCTTTTTTTGAGTATGTTTAACATAATACCTTTAAAATGATGCTCAGTACTGATATGATGATGTGACATTTGTTGTTTATATCTTCATGTATGTGTAGTGGACACACTAGATTATGATGATGTCATCATTATTGGACAGCACTTTCAAGGTGTAACGAGTGAGTCACACAGAACTGCAATTTAATATCACTCTTATATATGTTTTATATAATAAAATAATAATACCATTAATGAATCAACATGGCTTTATCAGGTTTAATCTAATAGTCTCTGACAGTCATGAGGAGTAAGAGATCAATGACACGAGCTGTGTTACACATTACAGTGTAAGGTTTTATTTCACATGTGTATCAGAGGGAGATCAGGAGGAGTATGATGATGTGAAGAACAGCAATGAAAATGAGAGAAACCTGTTAGGTAAGTTATTGTCACCTTTTTACATAATCTACTTTCAATCATGTCACTCACTTAAACTCTATTTAAACTAAATTGTGATGCATTTATAAAGATGAACATGCGAATTTGCTTTTTTTTTTTTAAAACAGACTATGACGATGTGGGGGAGTAGTCAAATAAAGAGGGAGGGGCCATATGACTCAATGGCTACACTCTCTGCCTCTGTTCATGAAATCATATTACAGTTGCTGGGAGCTTCTCATATTGCTACTAATGCATCAGTGCCTTATGTTTTTATGTTATTTTAAATATTTTTGTATGAAAAGTTACATGCTTTGCAAAATTCAGTATCAACAAATTTGTATTTTAGCATTTGGTCTTTTATTTCTATTTTGATATCAATGCTTTTCTCCTAATAAACAAAAGATATCATTCCAACATCATGTCACAAAATTACTTTTAAAAGAGCGGTTAGAGAAAAGAAGAAGTTATGCTATAAATGTGTAAGTATGTACTTTTAGGCTGCTGACAGCATTATTTACCTAAATATAATGATAAAAATAGATGTAGCGTCTGGACTACTCCAACACACAATATATATTTTGTT